AGGTGAACTTTAGGCCTGATGTGCAGCACTCACAGGCAGCAGAATCAGAATGTGATGGCCCCTTGGTCCTGGTGTGTTCATAACAAGAGTATGCAGGATGCTGTTTGGTTACAGGGTGCCTCCCTGATTGCAAACCGTAGGTCCTGTGCCGAGGGGGTCCGGTTAACCTGGTTTTATACACAGGCCTGGGAAGGAGTGGGGTTGAAAGAGGCTCCTGGTTCCTCTGGGAAACGACAGTCTTAAACCTCTCCCGTAGCTCCACAGCCCAGCCTAAACCCGGGGCTGGTTAGTCCGTCCAAGCAAGGTGGTGGCCGAACGCCAAGTGGGGAGAGCCCAGCCTGGCCACTGAAGGAGCAGGATGGGACCATCTCCACCCAGGGTCCTGCAGGGACACTGCTAGGTCAAGGGTCTTCCTACAGAATGAGTCAGCAGAGTGGCTTCCTGTAAGAGTGGACTTAACCCAGTTCCCATTGCACGTGGACGTGGCAGTGGCCAAAAGCTCTTCCCGTGTCTGCTGTCCCAAGGCCGAAGGTCTTCCGGAGGTTAGCCTGCAGCTGCTGAGCTCAAGAGCCTAGGCAGGAACCCCTCTCCAGACCCTGCCTGACACCTGTTGTTCCCAGCTCATGGGTTCCACTCTTCTATTTGTGCTGAGACTAATGGGTTACAAGTTCCAGATTTTTGTATCTTAAGATCATTCCATGTCCATTACTTAGCATGCCAAGAACTTTGCTGGGAAATCAAAAGCCATTTGTGATTCCACAAAATGAAGTTTAAAAAATAGGTCAGAGCAGCCAGTACCTGGGGATGGTCTACATCCCCCAGCTACTGCTGACTCCAACAGGGTGGGGTCCTAGGTCCCCCAGGCCTGCCCCTACGCTATGTCTGTCTTAGGAAGTTCACTCTTTCCTGCTAGACATGAAGCTGGGGCCCAGCGAGTATCCAACAAACTTCAAAGCTGTGGGATGTGGTGGTCACGAATTTTCCCCCGGCTCAGACGGGACCAATCTTTTAGAGTTCAAACTCTCTCCCTCCTTTCAGGCAAAAAAAAAAAAAAAAAAAAAAAAAAAAAAAAAAAAAAAAAAAAAAAAAAAGAAAAGAAAGAAAGAAAGAAAGAAAAAATCAGGCCAGCCTTCCAGGCAGCTGCCAGATCTGTCCCTAGTTACACTCTCAAATCTCCGCACAGCCCAGCCACAAGAATTATCAGGAAACCAGTTAGCAGTTTAGGTCTTGAAATTAATGTCACCCAAACATACTACAATGAGAAGTGAACTTTCAAGTCTAGATCTCACTGTTGGGTTCCTTTATCCTCCTCAGTTCCCCAGAAAGACTCATAAAAGCGTGTCCCTTAATTCTAGACGTGCGGAAGTACACGGTTGAGGGAGTGACATTACACCAGGAGGCTGGAGGGGACCAAAACCACGAGACCGAGACAGACAACTATTTCTTTGGCTGCTTTACTCTATAGATTCTTCAACTTTCCTCAGCCCAGGCCCTCAGCCAGTCGGAGACCAGTTCACAATAAGAAGTGAAAACTCACAAACTTCCCACTCAAGCTCAAACTGATTTTATTCAAGACTGGAAAGTGCTCACCAGAGATGAAGTGGCATGGAATTTGCCGGTACACTTCCAGATACTGGTAGCTGACTTGTTGCCAGTATCATCAATGAGACAGAAACTTTTAATTAGCATCACAGCCTCACCTACTAGAAACCAAGCTTCTCTAACCCCGGCGCACCGTCACACATCCACCTGGCTTCTATTTCTCAATTTAGAAACAATGCTGTTACAAGCCTTTGAAATCTAGAACCTGCTTCAAAGTAGGGTTTCTGATCTTTGGCGATTCTGTCATTCAGGGCCAGGTATTCTTTGTTGTGTGGAAGGCTATCCTGTGTGTTGTAGGATGTTTAGCAACCACCCCAGGCCTCTACTTAACTATCATGAAGGTAGCACCCTTTTCCTAAGGCGTGACAACCAAAAAACCACCTCAAATGTTGCCAAGATCCCTTGGGGGGTGAAGAAAGAGGGAAAGGTTAGTCACCTCTGGTTGAGAAGCACCAGTGCAAGCTTACACCTTCTTAAAAGTACCAGATGACAAAACACACTCTGGGAGTCTCCTGAGGACCTGGGATGGGGAGACTTGGCATCTAGCTGCTGAGTTTTATGTACGTGTCCATCTGTGTTTATGTGGTCATCTGTGTTTTGAGAACTAGGAAAAGCAGGCAGCTGCCACAAGAACGCCCAGGAGGGATTTTCTTGTTGTTGTTTTGTTTTGATAAAATTATCCTCACTTTTCTCAAACCTTAAAGCAAAGTTTCTCAACCTCAGCACTGTTGACATTTGGGGCCAATAATTCTTGGTTGTGTGGGGCAGCCCAGGGCACAGTGGGGGGCTGAGCAGCATCCCTGGCCTCTACCCACTAGATGCCAGTAAGATGGACCACTAGATGTCCACCGTGTTGTGACAAACAAAAATCTCTCCAGATACTGCCAATGTCCTCTGGAGGGTGGAACTGGCCCTGGCTGAGAAGCACTGTTCTACAGGAAGACAAATGCCCCCAAATCCTTTTGTGTAGAAAGAAGAGTGCACTTACCCTTGGGCCAGATGAGACAAATTGAGACTGACCAGTTTAAAGCTTAATACTGTTCACAAGGTGAAAACTCAATCTACCCATTATCACAACATAACAAGAATATTACCCTGGAACAGATGACTGTATTTTGAGGGCACAGAAGAGGATTAAAGAGGTGTTCCTAAGATAGAGAAAAGGTGCTCGTTTTGGCAGCACATATAGTAAGATCGAGAAAAGGAACACACAAAGAGATGGACACATCCAGGTGAAGGGTGGAGATGCTGAAGGTCTACGGAAATTATTACGAAGGAGAACGGAACATAACCAGGGTGGTTCTTGGGAGCAACAACTCAACAAAGAATCCATTAGGAGGATAAGACAACTGTCCTCAGAGTAGGATGTGGCCACTGCAGCAATTCTTTGGGACTGGGACTCAGAATGTCGAGTTAATAAGTCGGTCCGAACCACCAGCTTACACTGCACTGTGCTTTCCAGGTTTCAAAGCACTTCCCACAGATCTGAATGCAGGCAATCCTTCTTCCCCAAGAGGAAAGCTCTGGTGGCTGGCTGAGAGGCCCAGCTAGTTCCTCTAGCACAGCCTGTCTGCTTGCTGGAGACTGTATGGGCCACCAGCCCGGGCCCTGATGGCTGGGGGTGGTGGGGAGGGCTTCCAGAGACCTGTCTACAAGAGGGAACAAAGTGACCCAGGAATTCTTCCAAGACCTATAGCTCCTGCAGAAGGGACTACATCACGGTCTAAGAGAGTGAGCAGCACTTGAAGGTGTTCCTGTCAAGTAGGCAGGGGCCTGAGGCCTTCTGGCTGAGGGTCTAACCAAGGGCCAGGTCACTTAATTTCACCCTGCTGGGGCAAAGAGCTGTACTCTCAGCAACAATCCCAGAATCCCTCTGGATTAAATCTCTCCCACCAGGGTTTAGCCTGGAGTCTAGAGATAGTCTCCAAATACCTTTAGCTCTGGACCACTAGGGTCATTACTTTTTCCCTCAAGGGGCAAAAGGTACCAGCTGTGTATTACTGGGGACTCATTTCTCTTCCCTCCCACTGGACCTCTCCAAATTGTGGGTAGATTCCAGTTTGCCAGGACACTGTTGCCCATTCCTTCCTGGAATTTATCCACACAAATTTCAGATCTAAAGTTCTTATAGGATCAACAAATCTGCGGCTTCTTGGATCTGAAATTATAAACTGAATTCTGCGTTTGCCCGGTTTTCTGAAGAGTGGATCCACAGCTTCCACCAGACTCCTGAGTGATGGGGCCTGGACCTTCCAAAACACCTATTCTGTCTGTCACGTGGATAACGCTTATTTTCTTGGATTCAGCATTCCACTTCTGGGAACTTATCCTATAGATTCAATTCCACCTGCGAGCAGAGATATCCCTGGCTACTCACTATAGTACTGCTTGTAGCAGAAAACTACTGAAAACAATCTAGACATCCACTGACACACAACTAGCTAATTAAATTATAACAGATTTCATGGAATGGGGTATCACGTACCCATGAAAAAGATCCTAAAAGCTCTAGGAGTAGGCTCCAGTGTTGCAGCTCTCGGAGAGGGGAAGGGAGGGGGTTCCCCTAAGGACATTCAGCAGCATCCGGATACACTTGTGGTTATCACAACTCGGGGGGATGTTCCTTGTATAGAGTAGGTGGGGGCCAGGGATACTGCTCCACGCCCCACAGTGCCCAGAACGACCGCCACAACAGAGAATGATCCGAGGTGGAGGATTCTGGCCCTAGTGTGCTCTCCAAGACACATTAAATGAAAAACACCAAATACACAGTTCTACATAGACCATACTACCACTACGTGTGTTTTTCAGGGGAAGGCGTACACTTTTGTTTGGTAAGAGACATAATTCACCGGTGACAGTCCGTATCTCTGGGGAGAGGGACTGGATGCCTGAGGGACTGAAGTGGGAAACTGACTTTTCACTCTACCCTTTCAACTTTGTACCGGACCCACGGAAAAGGTTTTTTGTTTAAAAAAAAATTGGTCTAGACACAAAATTTCCCTGCCTCTGGGCTCTCTGGCAAGAGTCCTGTGTCGACAGCCTCAGGACTGTTTCTTCCCCTTCTCTCCCACCCCACTCCCTGCCCTTTTAGAGGCGAGGACAGGAGGGCAGGGGTCCACGTCCGGGGGCCAGCCTCTGGGGAAATCTCTGCTTCTCTCAAGTCTGCCCACCCTTCTCGAGGAAAGTGGAGCCCACACAGCGGGCAGGGCCTGGGCCATCTCGCACTCAGACCTCGTCTTTCTTAGGCTGTCCCCACCCTGTGGGGGACACGTGCCAATGTCGCCCCCTCCGTGCCCCGGGCCTTCTCCCGAACCAGGGCCAGGCCTGCCGTGGCCTGGCCCCTCTCCGAGCAGCCTGGGGCCCGGGGGGTCGCCCCCGCCACGGCCTCCGCTCACCTGGCTCGCCTTGTAGAACTGCTTCTTCAGCCCCGCTACCGACATGCTGCCTCCCGCCGTCGGGCCTTCTGCTCGGACCCACCGAACCGGAGGGACCGCACAAGCGACAGGCTCCCGGGCGCCGCCAACCCCCCCGCGCCTCAGCGGGCCCCTACGGCACCGCCTCCACC